TTCGGGGCCACCGCCCAATTTTTTTTTTTTTAACAATGGGGGGAATAGTTTCTCCCCCCCCCTTTTAGATACCTGGGTTTTAGGGTCTGAAAAAAAAAAGTTGTAACACTTTTTTTTTTTTCTTTTTCAAATTTTTTTTTTTTTTTTCCCGAAAAAGGGGGGGGGGGTCGGGGGGGGGGTGTTTTCCTTTGGGGGGGGGGGGGGCTGGGGGGGGCTGGGGGGTTGGCGTATTCTTTAGGGTTTTTACTTTAATTTTTTTTTTTTATTTGGTGGTTGTGTGTGTTGGGGGGAGGAGGGGTAGGTGTTGGGCAGTCTATGATCTCGGAAGGTAATTTTGTTGAAATCCCAGTACAGCCACTACGCAAACAAAGAGACTGTTGCAGATCTCCATTGACGTTAAATAACTGGGTAAGGCCACTTTCTGGGGGAATTTGTTGCACTGGAAACCATCCATCTATTGTCGAAACTGTCTAAGAGGGCCACCCATTGTCGAAGAGTAATACTATGTTCATATAAGACAGACGGCCGTCTTACACAGTCATTATAATATAAAAACAAAAAAACAAAAATTGGGAAGAGAGAAAATGCGAAGTGGCCATTTGTAAGGGTGATTGTCTTTTATAGGTGGCCCTTTAGAGTATGTTCGACTGCTTTGAAGGGTGTTTTTAAAACACAATGGTTCTTTCAAATGGCTAATCTTTGCCATAATGGTAAACTGATGCATCTTTGAAAGTCTTGTTGATGTGACCTCTACTTATAACCCCCCCCCCCCCCCCAGCTAAAACGTGAAACTTGAGAAATCATGCCTTACTGAAAATGCTTGACATTCCATGGATAGGGGTGGTCCTAAAAACAAGAGACATAGTTTTGCTAGGCTAAAGTTACAGGCTGTGTCACTGACATGTAAACGTATACAATTAGGAAAATGGAAAGCGCGTCCAATACTTATTGCATTTATTATACAAACAAATGAAAATGAAACTGATACAGATAATAACAGGAACAGCCTTCATTCCTCAGATACTCTTACTGCTTACGTTGGTTTACACGCTCTCCTCAAATATTCTTGATGAATTAATTACCATAACAATAATTTTGTACTCACTGTATACATGTACATGTACCTACTTCTACTCCCCACTGAACTTATAATTAAAATGAGTAATTCTACGCAACCTTTCTCTTTCCAGTGAAAGTTCAGCTGGCTCATCATTGCATTACAGCCGCTTCTCGAGTGTGCTTTCCTGCTTTGCCGTCTTGCCTTTTCATCACCAGTCAGTTGGCACTTACATGACCAA